GTAGTATGATGTAATGGGCGGGACGGGTGGTGGTCGGCGGACAGCGTCGGCGTAACTCAGTTGACGCTGATCGCGATCGAGATCAGCTGCTGAAAAAGCGTGCCTAAGTTTGTCACGAACGACCGCGGCAACGGCGGTCACTGGTGTATCCACTGGAGTAGTCCAAAGCTTCTGCATTTCTTCGCGGACAATATCTCTGATAAGGTCACGTAGGGAGCCCTGATTGTCCAGAGTCACTGAAGCGGCGTTGATTGGGGTGGTAGTGGACGAGCGATCATATTGCCTCGATCTTTGGTGCAGAGCACGCTCAATGGCAGTGGCTTCTCTTATAAAATCGGCCACGGTAGTTGGGGCATTGCGCACAAGTCCAGCGACCAGTTGTTCTTTGACGCCACGCATAAGGTAGCGCAACTTCTTCTCCTCGGACATGTTGGGATCAGCCCGACGACAGAGGCGCGTCACGTCTTCATCAAACATTGCCACAGTTTCGTTAGGTTTTTGAAACCTTAACTCGAGCAGCTGCTGAGCCCGCTCTCGACGGTCGACGCTAGCAAAGGTGTCAATCAGCTGCTGACGAAAGTCATCCCATGTGGATATACGGCCTTCTCGATTCTCAAGCCACGTGTGAGCGCCGTCATCGAGAGTGAAATACGTGCGGGCGTAGCTTCTGTTGAGCATTCCACTGGTTGATGTCGGCAACGCGTTCGTAATGCTCAAGCCAATCTTCAACATCTTCGTGTGGGGCACCACTGAAGCGTTTAGGCACAAGTGCTGAAGAAGTGTTACCTGGGCTGGATTGGAAACGGGGCTGCCTTGTATCCCTTGGACCAACTGTGGCGGGCTAGCGGAGGCCATTGGTAGAGGTACGTAATGCCTGGTAGAATGTTCGTCGAAGGAGGTCAGCTCTGGAGATAGGCCTAGCAACCGGCGACTGAAGCGGTGCACTGGTGCCGTAACAGATGGCTGCGTGTCGGGACTTGATGAACGGCTCCCAGATGGGGTGTTGAGCATCAGCAGGCTTGCAACCCAGCGCCTCCACCAGTGTCGCAGTTCAACGTAAGCAGTGCACCGAGACGTTGAGTCCGAGAACAGACGGCGTGTGTTTTTATGCAGGAGCCAAGAGCAGGCGAGCCAAAAACGAAAGTACGTCGTCTTCTTCAGTCCTCCTTTTCACGAGGCTGTTGGCGCGCACATCGTCTTCGTTCTTTGTTTCGGGGCGCGGCAATATATATATATATATATATATATATATATATATATATTATAATATATAAATAAGGGAAGAAGTGTATACCTAAGGGCTCGTTTTCCGTGTTTTAACACAATAATAATGAGATATAACAGACAGTAATGCCAAAGAATGTACAGGAGAAGTTATTAGAACCAATGGAATGTAAATAAGAAGAAAGAAATGTGGATGAAAAAATAACCAGCCGTGAGCAGGAATCGAACCTACGACCTTCGAATAACGCAATAGATGCTCTAACCACTGAGCTATCACAGCGGCCTTCCCTCCATCCACTTTTTTGGGTTTATATGTGAATTTAGAAGTAGGAGCGACAGTCAGTGCCGTCTATAAGCCAAACGGCGAGTGTGAAAACACTCTTATGCGCATGTTTTGGCGTCACGTAGCACGTGAACTTATTACGAGCGGGCAGCTGATTAATTGTCCCTCTTATACAACCTAAACACACCAAGTCTGCCAGTACGAGACCCTCGTTAATGAATAAGGGAAAGAAGTGTATACCTAAGGGCTTGTTTTTGCGTGTATTGACACATTATTAATGAGATATAACAGACAGTAATGCCAAAGAATGTACAGGGGAAGTTATTAGAACCAATGGAATATAAATAAGAAAGAAAAGTGGATGAAAAAATAACAGCCGTGAGCAGGAATCGAACCTACGACCTTCGAATAACGCATTAGATGCTCTAACCACTGAGCTATCACAGCGGCCTTCCCTCCATCCACTTTTTTGGGTTTATATGTGAATTTAGAAGTAGGAGCGACAGTCAGTGCCATCTATAAGCCAAACGGCGAGTGTGAAAACACTCTTATGCGCATGCTTTGGCGTCACGTAGCACGTGAACTTATTACGAGCGGGCAGCTGATTAATTGTCCCTCTTATACAACCTAAACACACCAAGTCTGCCAGTACGAGACCCTCGTTAATGAATAAGGGAAAGAAGTGTATACCTAAGGGCTTGTTTTTGCGTGTATTGACACAATAATAATGAGATATAACAGACAGTAATGCCAAAGAATGTGCAAGGGAAGTTATTAGAACCAATGGAGTGTAAATAAGAAGAAAGAAAAGTGGATGAAAAATAACCAGCCGTGAGCAGGAATCGAACCTACGACCTTCGAATAACGAGTTCGATGCTCTAACCACTGAGCTATCACAGCGGCCTTTCCTCTATCCACTTTTTTGGGTTTATATGTGAATTTAGAAGTAGGAGTGACAGTCAGCGCCATCTATAAGCCAAACGGCGAGTGTGAAAACACTCTTATGCACATGTTTTGGCGTCACGTAGCGGGTGAACTTATTACGAGCGGGCAGCTGACTAATTGTCCCTCTTACACAACCTATACACACCAAGTCTGCCAGTACGAGACCCTCGTTAATGAATAAGGGAAAGAAGTGTATACCTAAGGGCTTGTTTTTGCGTGTATTGACACATTATTAATGAGATATAACAGACAGTAATGCCAAAGAATGTACAGGGGAAGTTATTAGAACCAATGGAATATAAATAAGAAAGAAAAGTGGATGAAAAAATAACAGCCGTGAGCAGGAATCGAACCTACGACCTTCGAATAACGCATTAGATGCTCTAACCACTGAGCTATCACAGCGGCCTTCCCTCCATCCACTTTTTTGGGTTTATATGTGAATTTAGAAGTAGGAGCGACAGTCAGTGCCATCTATAAGCCAAACGGCGAGTGTGAAAACACTCTTATGCGCATGCTTTGGCGTCACGTAGCACGTGAACTTATTACGAGCGGGCAGCTGATTAATTGTCCCTCTTATACAACCTAAACACACCAGTCTGCCAGTACGAGACCCTCGTTAATGATAAGGGAAAGAAGTGTATACCTAAGGGCTTGTTTTTGCGTGTATTGACACATTATTAATGAGATATAACAGACAGTAATGCCAAAGAATGTGCAAGGGAAGTTATTAGAACCAATGGAGTGTAAATAAGAAGAAAGAAAAGTGGATGAAAAATAACCAGCCGTGAGCAGGAATCGAACCTACGACCTTCGAATAACGAGTTCGATGCTCTAACCACTGAGCTATCACAGCGGCCTTTCCTCTATCCACTTTTTTGGGTTTATATGTGAATTTAGAAGTAGGAGTGACAGTCAGCGCCATCTATAAGCCAAACGGCGAGTGTGAAAACACTCTTATGCACATGTTTTGGCGTCACGTAGCGGGTGAACTTATTACGAGCGGGCAGCTGACTAATTGTCCCTCTTATACAACCTATACACCCCATATTATATATATAGTATATATATATATATATATATATATATACCAAAATCTTAATAATTTTACATTTCATGCACTATATACACGCTTTTACGTTCGCATGGTTTATATATACATTATATACAAAGGTTTACCTAGATTTTTGTGAATTAAAGAAGAATGCTCCTCGATAAGCTCGGAGACTCGTTTTCCTTCGAAGATGACTGCTTTGTGGTCCATAAAGTACGCAGCGAAGATATCTTTAATGACAGGATGCAATTAAGAGTTTGTGAAGGCAACGTTGATACAGGTCCCCCTGATGCTGGTGGGACGCTTGCAGTCGACAACACGCATCGGCAAGCGTAATTATACATTGTGTATTGAGCTAGCCAATCCCTCTGCATGCTGTACACGTTAGGGTCTCCGACAACTACGAAGGGGCCGTGTTTATACTCGGTTGTTTTTAGCTTCTTGGGCCCCCACTGCATGTTCTTGGCGGAGAGCTCGTGCTGCTGCTGTCTTGCGAGCTCTCTCAGCCACTGCCTCGGCTTCTTGTGTGTTCACGCTGAGTAACGGTTGTGAAGTGCACTGAGTGAGTTGCCGGCAAAGAGAAAAGAAGCGTGCCGAAAAGAAGTGCTGTATATCAGTGCTGCCCTCTAGCGGTCACCTATGTAACCAGCACACGCACCGAGGGTGCATTGAAGTGAGCGGCTCCGCCTGATCGGTGGTGTGTCATGTAGTGAGTGTGCTTGAATCACTGGAGGGAGCCCAGCTGCTCCTATAGCGGAAGCAATGATAACTAGCGGATACGGGGCGATAAACAAGGCACGAGCAAGCTCCCGAAAAGAAATATTTCGCCTAAGTAACTATAAACAAAATACCTAAAATTAGGTACCGCAGCATCACACATGAAGGTTTACGGTGAAGCCATAAAACCAGGGCAAGCGTCGAATTCGGAAAATTTTCAAGCATACACATGAATGCGTGTTGTAACAAAGGGATGGGGATGACAGTGCCACGCTTTCTTTATGTCTCATGTTGAGTTAAACCACTTATAGTGCTCAAGCTGAAGATTGGACTTTCTACCTACGTCTGAAATCCTCAGTGCATGAATGTATGTCATCATGGCATCCTACGACGTGTTGTCTCACTGTGAATCCTGTCCTACTAGGCTTAGATGAAGTGTTGTGCATGAGTTTAGTCAGTGGCATTCAACTTGGCAGAGTCCCACTTGCAGGCTCAACATCTGTGCGTAAAGGCTGCGCAGTAAGCTTTTCATGCTTAGCAAAAGGGGGGTGGGGGGACGAGGTCTCAGACGCACAGCTGCGAGTAGTCAGTATCTGTATCAACTAAAAAGTTTGTTGGTGATGACTCACCGGGAAGCTGTACGGAAATGTAGCTTCGGTTTCGAGCTCATCTTCTATGCGCCAATGTACGGTGGCTTCAGTGCACGAAGTGGCTTCTTCCTTTAACACGTAGCATAGGAAATAATTATGCTATGTGGTATACCATAACAGGCCTTCAACACTAACAAAGAAACAATTTTATTGCTGATGTTTCTCGCAGGTATTCGAAAGAGACAATGCTCATCTCATCACAAGTGCTCATCTTTCACAGAGGGAGGCCGAAGGCCTAAAATCGGCCGAAGTATACGTTGGCACTGAGGATCATAAATTGGGTTTCCCGTAGCCTTCATATTCCCGCCTTTTTTGAGTGGTTTAGTCTTTGTTCCTTTATTTAGGGCATCTTTGAAATACATGAACAATCCTGCCTTGGTCCAGTCACAATAGAAGAATTTTTTACTCTCAGATCGTGCCAAGGCTCTTCACCTGAAATTGAGGAATCGCGTCGTGAGAATAATCACGTCACTCACTGGTGCCATTCATTCTGCATATTTTCATATCTGGGCACTCATTGCAGGGACAGATAACTTTGCCATTACAACAGGTGATCAAGTACACTCGTTAAGCTGTACCGATCTACTTTATGTTGAAGGTCGGGAGCAGTTCATATAAGTTGTATAGATCGTGCCTGAGGTGACGATTGGTTTTTATTTTGGACGCTGAAACCTACGTTTTACCAGCACATATATACAACTTATAACTTGACAAAGTGAGGGAATGTCAAGTAATGTCTACCAAAATATTTTTGCCCACGAACATGGATCATTGAGTGCTTGTCAGGTAAAAACCAATCATTTTCGTTAGTCATGATCTAATTTGACACTCACCCAGTTTCTTTTATTTTGCATTGGCAGAACTGACAACACTCGATGTCTGTGCGCGCATTTGTACATATATTTAGAGCCATTTCCCAACTTTTCAATCAATAAAGAGTACAATGTCTTACAGATGCGTGTCGGGTAGCTCGCTTATGAGCAGGATGATAAATGGCATGATATTTTAGTGGATTCTTCATGGTCATTCTCATCACATCAGTTTTATGAGCACAGATGTACAACCTATATCTCAGCGATATGAGAGAATTACAAGTAATGTCGACCGAAATAATTATGCCCCCGAACTTGGATCATTGAATGCTCTTCAGGTAAAAAACAATTATTTTGTTAGTCGTGATCTAATTTGAAACAAACCGAGTTTCTCTTATTTTGCGTTGGCAAGACTGACAACACTTGATGTTATGTCTGTGCATGCATTGTATATGTATTTATTGCCTCCTTCTAATGTTTCGCTCAATAAAAGTACAATGTTTTAGAGATGCGTATCCGGGTAGCTCGCTTATGAGCAGGATGGTGAATGGCTACTTTTTTAGTGAATGCTTCATCGTCATCGCCGTACCTTGCATGTGCTGTGCCACGGTGCCAGAGAGAAGATGAGTGGTTTGCAAAGCACTTGATCGTCATCATCGTAACCGTCGTCATCATCGAGTGACGACTAGGGGGGGGAAGCATGGCTTGTCTCTAATGATCTTTGTGCCTAAAATAAAAATAGAGCTATTGCGGCGTGGCTGAGGGTCGCGCTGCGCAGCTTTTTTCTATATGATCAATCATGTGCCATCCAAGTCCGTGAGGCGGGTTGGGGACAGGTTCTCCATTCTTCGTGAGTGGTTAAACGAGGCCATAAATTTGCCCGACTTTTAGAAGCTTGCTCCTTATGCTAGGTGATTGTTCATCGCCGTAGCCGCTCCTTTAAAGACGATGACGCTGATCACGATAAATAACAACCGCGTTCCAGAGCACACATGCTCTTTTCTCTATCACGGCACAGCAGATGCAAGGTATGTCCGCTATACACCATGACGATGGATATTAAACACCCGCTTAGTGCTGATAAGCGAGGTACTCGCTATACATCTGTAAGGCTCTCTTTAGTGATTTCAAAAGTGTCCATTACATGGCGCACCGCCACTGAGGTGGCGCTTGCTTGTACGCTACTCGTCATGAACGCCCTGCAAGGCAAGACAGTGGCACGGAGCTTTTGGAATGGAAGAAGCAGCGCAGGCTCGGCCACCAAGACGGTGCGATGAGAGCCCGCGAGTTGGATGGGAAGCGGGGTTCGTCAACATTAGTCCGCAAGACCGAAGACGTCGATGATGTCACGTTACCCTCTCCGGTGCACTTCATGCACGCGTCCAACCTGCCTCAGTGGCACTTGTATAGACATCGCCTTCTCGAACTTACAGCTAGATTCTACAATTCAAGATCCCGTGGCCTTGCGCAAAGGCGTTTGAATTGTGATGTGTATAGTGCTGCCAAGGCAGCCGAAACGCGATTAAAACGTGTTGCCTTGAGGCAGTAAACGCGGCGACCTGCCCTCCTCTCACGTGTCACGTCTTTGTATGATGATGTTTATAAAGACGTACAGACAATTCACGGCTTACCGAATTCAATCTCTGTAGCAAGCTCATTCACTATTATTCATATCATCATCCATTCAATAACCTTTTCTGCTTGGTTCCCCGAACAAGTGTGCCTGGCATGTGCTCTCTCGCTCTGCAAATTTGCCCAGCTTGGGAGGTTATAACTGGAATCGGTTATAGAACTAGTATAGAGAGAAAGAAAGTTGGAGAACTAGTATAGAGCGAAAGAAAGTTAGAGTGGAAGAAATAAAAATTAGGAAGAGAGAGAGGGGGCAAAAAATAAAACAAAAGAAATGAAATATAGACAAATATTGAAACACGAAGAAAAAGAAAAATATCTACAAAAATTATGTTAGCATCTTTGACTACTTATGGCGGTGGTCAATACCTAGCCCACTGAATACCTAGTCGACAGTACATAGCCCACTGAAAATATTGAATGCTGCGATAAATACATGGAGACCCTACTTGTGATTGCATGTGTGATCACGCGAGCACTTCTTGCATTGGCGTGTGAATTCACGTGTGCCTTGACAAGCAACGGCCAGTAGAGTGTCGACCAGCTCTACCATGCCCCATTCTTGCTAGGCTTTGTAGAAGCATGATTTTTTTTCTGGCATGTTCTCTTTTTAGTATTTCCAGCAATTTTTAAATTTGGAGAGAAAGATGGGCAACAGTCAATGCCTATGATGCTGTCGCTTTTTCCCAGCCTTTGTTTTTTTTTTGTTCAAGACTATGCTTAATAGGCGTACAAATTAAACTTTGGATATTGAATGAAAACTATATAGCAGAGTATTCGCTTCCGCGGTTTTCGATAACGTTTATTTTGCTGGTGTACAATGACAAATATCTTGATGATTTCACACTAATAACAACATCGATTCTAATGTCAGCACTGAAGCCACGCAAATAAAAAACACTATCATGATATCATACCAGGGAATGGCAGCGTCACCTTGAAGACACCACAACTTGCATCGACACTCGCGTAGACAAGTTTTTCTGCGATAACTGGCACATTCCCTAGAAAAAGTGAAAAAAAGACAAATGACGCTTACTACATTTATGTAACTTCGAAATTTTTATTCATGCTAACATGAAATAAGCGAGTCAATTTCAGCTTTGCCAAATACGAGAACATATAGTATGGCCATCATTCACCACATTTAGAATAAAACGTACATATTAACGTCTCAGAAACAACTATGAAATATTCAATGCAAAGGAATACTAGACTGCGCTGTTGCCGCTAGCATAACGTAGGTGCTTGATAGTCAAACGATTTTTTATTGTTCAAGAAGTATACCCTTAGGGTCAAACAGGCGACTCCGGATAGTCGCGGCCTCTTTTATGATTTTTACTTAAACAGGCTCAGGGGTAATACAAGCTCTGTGCCTTAGTGTGTTAAACAGAGCGATGCCATGGAGGTCTTAAGATGCATTTGCCACCTTTAAACAAATGCAACTGATCCCAAAGAAGTATTTATGTGTGTGATTGATGGCTACCACCTAGCGGAAGCCATTGAATCCACGAGCTGTTTCCACATTGTGGATCCTGAATTTGTATCATTGCGGTGTTCATTACATTGACACTCTAGGTACAATATAGTCACCGTTGGTTTGGGCCAGCGCTTCTGTAAAAACACCACTTAGATAACACCGCCCATACTGCCATATGTTGGAACTTGTAGCGTGGCCAGTTGTATGACGTGAGATCGATACATGTCACCAAATACAAATACTCGAGATGAAAGAGTACACGAATTTTTTCTTTATATATATCGCGTCTTTTTCTTGGTATGCGCTAGCATGTATTGCTTCGACATCAAATGTTGCTTCCGAAATTGTAAAAAACGCAAAATGACTATAATTGAAGGTCAACTTGGCTGAAAACACGCCCAGTTGAACACTCTGAATCTAAAATCTTTGCGTCCTCAAGCGCAAGCTACTCTGAAAATGTATCAAGAGGTTCCAAGGAAAACTGCTAACTTTGACTGACTGGGCGTAGTCACTGGCCTTCCTCTGCGCTCCATCTCCACAGGGACCAACAAACTATGCCTACTTCTTCATGTGTTTTGTTATCATTAAAACGTTTTATTTGAAGTCATAGACAGCTTGAAGGTTGCTCCGCCTTCTCTGGCAGCCATGATCGCTTACTCCGACATTACGTCGTGCTGCGCCAGGTCTTGCACCTTATATAGCATTCAAGTTTGTTGAAATTGAAATATTTTTTGCCTCGATTTAGCTCATGCAGCTGAAACTTGACAGCTCTGGGCTTCGCCCCCTTATCTTGCGGGTTCCAAATTTACTTCAAAGATGCGACAATGCACGACCACTAGTCTGATGCCGTTCAAGCTTCAGGTATAAGGTGACTTTGAGAAAAAGACGAAAAGCATAAAATGTGAAAATTGAGCGGCGTTCGCGTTTGGATAACCCCGGTCAGTAGCAACAATACTATACATCATGGCGGAAAGCGCTCCCAATATCCTGTAAGAACTTCAACGCCGCTTATTGACGCATGCTTAAACCAGTTGTTTGCACAAGCGTTTGTCCCTTAGTCTGGCTTGCGGATTGTTCATGAAACTGATTGATGGTAAAAGTTTAATGGTAAGGCCTCGAGGGATGCTGATGACTAAACCACAAAAGGACAGCGTATTGATAGCTACACAATTACGAACACTGATAACCACATAACCAATCAATGTATGTTGTAGCGGTACTTTCGATAACTCTGACAGGCTGCACGGCCAACTCACGTGACCTGACAGTCCTCGTGAACAAGGGTGACCGAACAATGAGCAAATTTTCAGTACATGGTACTCTATTGAGACGATCACTTTTTACACTCAAAAGAAGGCTACGTTGAACATCAAGTAGAACGATGGGCAGCCGATGGCGCCATTGTGAGACGAGTTGACCGTAAAATAATTAAGTTCTAGATACCGTGACTCATAAATCTGCAAATAGTAAAAATCACAGTGAGTGATCGGCTTAGACGTTAGGTTGCGTCATTTGTCCGAGCATGGTTAGCAGCGGCGGCTTGGTTTTCATAGGAATGATCAGGCGACTTCATGGTAAATAATCAACGAAACTATAGCGTGTATGAAACGTCACTTGAAAGCCGCCATTTTTACGAAGCGTAAATGTGCAGGTTCTTTGTGTGGACGTACGTAGCTGGTGGCATGGTTGACACACAGGCAGTGCTCTTGTTTGCAGTGTTTCTCATTGGGAGCAAGCTAACAAGATGTATTCAAGCGCGGTGGAAAAGAGTGACAATGCCAATCAGATGAGGATATGTGACATAGTATTGTAGAAAGGTGGATTATGGTGTTCATAGTAAAAATTATTATAAAAACACTAAACCTTTTTGATAGTCAAAACATTACCTGCCTGTATATGCGCATAGACACTACAAAACTGCAGATGCAGTAAGATCAAGTCGTTTCTTAAATTCCCATAAAGTTATTTACAAAAAGCACATTGAACGGTGAAGATTCTCAGACGTGGAGAAATGAGCCAACAAGTTGCGCAAGGTCGTCGTGTTGGATGTACCAAAATCGATGAATATTAGGCACGAATGCCATTTTCTGGGTCCTAAATTAGTAGAGTAAAGTAAGGGAAATTGTTTAGTGCGAAACAAATATAAGTTGATGTGCTCACCTAGTACGGCAACAAACATCTCATCTCTTCGGTGCTTTAGGAACCATCCCTCTAGGTGCTCTGTTCGTCTATAATGAAAGCGTTGATAAAGCATCTTCGAAATATTAACAAATAATCAAAGTGAACTTACACTTGCTTGTTAATATCGTAGGACCTTTTGTACTGAATTGAATATAGGCTGCATTTGGACATAACGTCCACCTGACAGCGCAGCGTTTCTTCCAGCGTTGAATTATAGGTCCATATTGGCTCCGATGTATTAAGAAACTGAAAGGGCAAACAGTAGTCTCAAGTCATTTCTATTTCACTGTACGAGTGCCTCAAAAACTATGATGACCAACGTTGCAGTCATAGTCGTAAATTTATTTTTGTGGGTATAAATCTCCAAAATACGCCATTACTCAGTCCATTCGTGGTAACCTCTAACTTGAAAGAATGCCCACACAAGCGTACTTAGGCTTTCCGTGGCATCGCAAAATAAAAGCTGTAGTCTTTAGGGCTTTAGTAACTCGTGTGTGTCTTATAGAGCGTTGTATATAAAACTGTGCACTTTGGTAACTGAGTTGTCGTTGTTGTTTATGGATCGGCAGAAAATCACAGCTCAGGATCAGCCTGAATCACTTGATTTTTGTTCCTTCTGAAAGGCCAATATACTTTAATGCTATGACAGAACGCGACAAGAACGACATTACTTAGATATATTGCCACAGAGACTGTTTACAATATCCGAGATTATGAGGAATCAGCGTCCACAGTCTTGTGTGCACTCTTGCTTGGGGCCGCACGACTCATGCCTCTTGTTCACAGGTACGAGCCAGTGTGGGTCGGAGCTGCGAAGAAGAAGAAGGTGCGTGGGCAGATGAACAGTGTTTGTTTTGAAACGCTTTAGCGGACTCTTCCATCTTTTTGCACATAATTTTCAGGGCACAAGTTCGCCCATAATAAACTAGTTTTTGACTTTTCCTCTCTTGCACACGTTACATTTTGGTGGAGGTGCTGGGTATGATTGGAAGCCCCCTTGGCGCAAGAGAGCGAAGCCCCGATCCTCAACGATTGGAACCTGGCGAACTGACTCCGGTACACCAGCGTTCAAGCCGCCACCTCCGAGGAGAGCCGCCTGAATTCGCACCCCTCCCCAGTGCTCCAGCAATACAAGCGGCGTCCACAGACAACGGAACGATGGCTTACCAGGTGACATCGTCGGAACTTATTTTGTCCCCACCGTGCTTGCCTGAGCCCTTCCACGGCGACACGTTCGGGGATGCGGAGGATTGGTTAGACCACTTCGAGCGGGTTGCGAAAACCAAAGGCTGAAATGAAGCTAGGAAAACCACGAAGCGTTCATACCGACATGGGAAGAATTCCGACGACAAACAGTAGCTACATATGCCAGCACCGATCGTCGGGAGAAGGCGGAGAACGCTCTACAGTCCAGAAACCAGCGCACGAACGAAAGCGTTGGCATGTATATTGAGGATATGTCCCGCCTTTTCAAGCGCGCTGACCCGAACATGAACGAAGAGAAAAAAGCTGCGTCACTTGATGCGAGGTGTCAAACAGGAGTTATTTGCCGGTTTGGTACGCAACCCACCTCGTACAGTTGCTGAATTCCGCAACGAAGCCACCTCCATAAAGCGGGCATTGCAGCAGCGCTCCCGTCACTACAATCATGACACGAGTAGTGCTTCTGCGGATGTCCTTTCAGCAAACTTGGGAAGCAGCAGCGAAGCATTGAGGGAAATGGTGCAATCCATTGTGAAGGAAGAGCTACAGAAGCTGCTGCCCCGACAAGTCGCAACGCCAGTTTCATCTCTCACTACCATGATCAGAGATGAAGTTCGCCACGCTATTCTTCAAGCCGAACCCGAGGCGCAACCTGTTCGACTTCAACAGCTATTGCAGAAACGCCCCGTACCGACTTACGCCGATGCCGTACGCCAGCCCGCCGTATGCCAGCCCGCCGTGCATACTGCTTCGTTTGCAGCTCCCAGTGGCTACCGACCGGCTTCGCGTGGCTCAAACTATCCAGCTAACTCGAGGCCACGAAAAAGCGACGTGTGGCGCACACCCAACAGGACGCCTCTCTGTTTTCACTGCGGCGAAGCTGGACACCTGTACAGAATGTGCCCATATCGACAAGTTGGTCTCCGTGGGTTTTCTCCAAACGCGCCATGCCCCCGAAATGGCGAAAGACCCATTGAAATTGAAGATTACTTGTCCGGCCATCTGTTTCCAACTGCCGGTTTCCAGCATCAGCCTGGATCACCAGCGCCTAATCGCCATCGATCGCCAAGCCCTCGACGACTTAGTTAACCTTCTCCACCTTCAACCTCAACACACCGTCGTTCAAGCAGCCCCATCAGGAAAACTGAAGCCAGCGATTTATAGAGGCAAAGCCGCTGATGTCCGACCAACTGAATATCCTCCGTCAAGGTCCCAGTGCAGCAACGACGAGCGGAACACTACAACTAGGTTAGGTAAAGACAAAATTTCTTCAGACTTACGCGTTACCGTAGACGGGTGTGAATTTACCGTTTCAGTTGACACAGATGCTGATTATTCGGTTGTCAGTAACGCTGCCGCGAAGGATTTGAAGAAACTCCTGACGCCTTGAAGTGGACCCCAGATACGCACGGCTGGGGGTCATCCCATCACACCTGTGGGAAGATGTACCGCACGAATCGGAATTCAAGGCGCTACTTACTTTGCTGACTTTGTCGTACTTCCAGAATACTTTAGAGATTTATTACTCGGAATAAATTTTCTGCTAGCGAACAGAGCTATAATCGACCTGCAGAATTCTAGTGTCTCTTTTTCTACCAAACTGGCCATAGACACAAATAAGCCAGAATACACTGCATTACGTGTTATAGATTGTGATGTTACCGTGCCGCCACGATGCAGCGTAATAGTCGGTGTAACAAATGAAGCATTCGTTGATTCTGAAGGTATAGCGGATGCAAACGTCGAACTACTGCTCAAGAAAGGCATTTGTGTAGCTCGAGGCATTATTCAATTACGTGGTGGATGCGCCGAAATATTGCTCACGAATTTCGGAAACGAAATTCAGCACGTTGCAAAGGACACTGCTATCGCCTTCTTGCACAGTTTTCAAACAGTGACGGACTTATGTGGTCTGGTGTCAGGGCCACCTACTTCGAACCTGCGCACGATGTCGTGGCAAGAGTTGCAATCAGCCAAAATCTATCCCCAGCCGAAAAGAAAATCATTCAAGACCTCCTAAGAGACTTCACCGGATGTTTCTCTACCTCGTCAAAAGTACGGCGGACCTAGGTTGTTAAACATCGAATAATAACAGATGAAGCTAGAAGGCCGGTACACCAAAATCCGTACAGAGTATCACCGAAGGAACGTGAGTTCATAAAGAGCCAAGTGAAAGAGATGCTGGAGGATGATGTCCTACAGCCGTCCAATAGTCCGTGGGCGTCGCCTGTAGTCCTTGTGAGGAAAAAGGACAACACGCTGAGATTCTGCGTTGATTACAGAAAGCTGAACAGCGTGACCAAGCGGGATGGCTACTCTTTGCCGCGTATTGATGATACGTTGGATCGGCTACGGCACGGAAGGTACTTCTCTTTATTGGATTTAAAAAGCGGTTAAGGCAAATTGAAGTGGATGAAAGAACCGTGAAAAGACTGCTTTCGTAACCCCGGATGGTCTATATGAGTTTAAAGCACTCCCATTCGGCCTGTGTTGTGCGCCTGCAACATTCCAGCGCATGATGAACAGCGTCCTTTCAGGCCTAAAATAGCAGTCGTGCTTAGTCTACCTGGATTACGTTGTGGTGTTTTGAGCAACGTTTGAACAGCATGTAGAGCGACTACGTTCGGTACTTCAGGCTATCCAGTCAGCCAGCTTGACGACTAAACCGGAAAAATGCCAGTTTGTATTCGAGAAGCTTCGTTTTCTCGGTCATGTAATCAGCGCTCAAGGTGTTGGCCCGGACCCGGAGAAGACTGTGGCCGTGGGGCTGTTTCCCAAGCCAAAAGACAAGAAGGAGATACGCCGATTTTTTTGCTTTATGTGCTTATTATGGGTGGTTTGGGAAAAATTTCGCGAAAATTGCCGAACCTCTAACAAGACTCACAAAAGAGGACGTGCCATTTATTTAGTGTAGCGAACAAGACAGTGCATTCAAGGAACTAAAGAAACATTTGCAAGCTTCATCTATCCTGGCCCACTTTGACGAAACCACAGATACGGAAGTTCATACAGATGCCAGCAATCTTGGCCTAGGTGCGGTCCTGGTGCAATGGCAAATTAGAGAAGAGAAAGTGATAGCATATTCTAGCCGCACCTTCTCAAAAGCGGAGAGAAGCTACTTGGCAACCGAAAAAGAGTGCTTGGCCGTCATATGGGCAATGAGCAAGTTCTGGCCATACCTCTACGGCAGGCCGTTCCGTGCCGTCAGCGACCACCACTCAGTTTGTTGGCTGGCGACCTTAAAAGACCCATCGGGACGGCTTGCGAGATGGAGTCTCAGGCTCCAAAAGTATGACATTACGGTCGTATATAGGTCTGCCAGAAAGCATGATGATGCTGACTGCTAATCACGTTCACCAGTCCACTCGACTCTTTCAGAAGAAGAGGACTTCCCACTCCTTTGTGTGAAAAAAACCTCGGAAATCGCCAAACATCAACGGGCTGACATGGAACTGCCCCCAATAATAAAGTATCTCGAAGGGCACGACGAACAAGTTCCTCGCGTATTTAAGAGAGGGTTATCCTCATTCTGCCTGCGAGATAATGCACTTTATAAGAGGAATTTTGAACACAACAAGGAGAAGTTCTTACTCGTTGTACCATCAGCCATGAGGCATGAAGTCTTAGAAGCCTGCCATGATGAACCGTCTGCGGGTCACTTGGGCGCGAGTCGAACGTTCGCCAAAGTTCATCAGAAATACTACTGACCCAAGTTACTAGCGTCTGTGAAGCATTACGTCAAGACATGTCACGAGTGTCAAAGGCGAAAAACACAACCCCCCAAGACGGCCGGCCTTCTCAAGCCTATAGAGCCACCTGTGACTCCATTTCAACAGGTTGGAATGAACCTCCTTGGACCGTTTCCAATGTCGGCATAAGGGAAAAAGTGGATAAAAGTTGCGACTGACTATTTGACACGATACGCTGAAACCGGCTGCCTTGAGCGAGGAACGGCAACGGAAGTCGCGAAGTTTTTTGTTCAGAATATTGTTCTTTGCCATTGAGCCCCACTCGTCGTGATTACCGATCGAGGAGCAGCATTC